GAACACAACAGCATTCAGGAATTCTCAGGATTAAGCATTGCTTAGGAGCTTTAAAGAAAAAGGAGGGAGGAGAAAGGCTGTGTTATCAGAAAGGAGGAAGAGGTTCCCTCTGTTGCTTAATATTTAAACTCGCTGAATGTTTACACAAGAATTTTATGAGAAGTGAGTTTGCACTCATCTGTTGTAAGGCCACTAGAACTGTTAATAAAACCAGGTACATGACAACTGCAAATGCTGAGTAAATGAAAGTCATGGCGTTTTTTGTTTAAAGGCAGAAGAGCGATTTCAAAGATATGTACTAACATGGTCCTTCATCTTCTTGTGGGTTTAGACCTCAGCAGTCAAGTCTCTCACGTTTCATTGATTCAGCCATGAACGTCAAACACCTTCACAAAAATGAAGCAAAAGCCAAAAGCCTCAGCAGTAAAAACTGCAGCCATCACATGCTACCAAGAGCTGCAGTTTCAAGGGAATAATTTGTAGGGGAACAATAAAGCAGTTCTAAGAATCAGTTTTGACTGCAGAGAAAACAGAACCATCGTTAAAAGTGTTAGCTGAACACTTCATGATTAAACAGAAGGGACAGATGCAGGCTCAATACTTAGTTTAGTTAAAACTCAGTCTATCCTACTTCTTCATTGGCTCTTACACCCTGCAGAAAGACTGTCACAGCTGCCTGAGATACTTAAAATGTATCACAAGGAGATGAGTCTATGTCGTCAGAACAGTACTGTTAATCTAAAAATCTTTTAGGGTGTCTAATATTTCAAATTACACAAATATAATAAAACAAATACACTAGGACTTTCTCTTCCTCTCCTACTTCATCTCTAGAGGTATGATACCAGATCAAGGTTAGTGCGCTACGCATGGAGGATTGGATGCTTTTTATCTTTCCCTGAATTTCTGTGTTTCCTGCATTACTGCAAGCAGCTTCAGCTGGCTGACTGACTAGAAAACTTCACAAATACAGACATTTCTGATTCCTTGTTTCTCCAACCTGCCAATACTCTGAAAACAGAAGCACAGTTTACACACTCACTAGCCAAACAGCGGACAATAACTTCAATGGAGAAAGGAAACAGGGTACCTCAGTCATTCACTCATCCCACTTACCATTTCCCATAATGTTAAATAATGAGATGATGGGAAACTATTTTTTAAATTTAGCTTCCCCAGTTTTGTCCTCTCTTCAGAATTAGAGCCGAGATTCCAACTACAGTTAGAAAATTGTCTGTCCTGAGCACAGCTACCTGCTACTATGGCTGCACTCTCAGACCTCTGCGATCTCTGTGATCTCTTGGGTATACAAACGTGATGCTGTGAGATCTCTGCTTACCACTGCAAGCAGTGAGGACAAGAATCAGTGTCAGTGCAGTTGGCCCAAAGGGGTTTCTGACCGGGCTAACAACTGACCCTAGAAGATTTTGGCCCTACATTAGCTTTGAAACCACGTATTAGTGTTCCTTTCGGTTAAAGAAAAAAAAAGAAGCATTGTTGGCTCTAACCCTAATGTGGTCACTCCAGAATGACCAAACTGACTCAAGCACTGCTAAGACCTATTTTTGGGTTGGCCCCGTGCAGAAGAAGAACTTCCTGTAACACAATTTGAACATTTGGGCCTAAGATTCAGCAGAATGAGTAACTCTATTCAGCTGTTTACCTGTGAAAATCAGAGCACAGTTAGCATCTGGTGGACCAGTTAACAGTTACTGAGCAGCAATTTGTCCAAGGTGGTTGGTTTATTTTTAAATTTTCTAAGGCAGCAACCCTATACAGCACTGCTTATCTAAACCTGCCAGTCAGTACCTCACCTAAACTGCAAACACGGAGGTGAGACCAGGTAGGTTAAGTACTTTTGATGTGCTTGCACAGAAAGTTTCTGTCTCGTCTTTGCAGTTGAAGAGTTCTAATGATTCCTAAAGTACCTTAGGAGATGACCTGTGCACTCACCACAGGTCTGAGCTTTCCAGACACACTGGGTTTCCTGAGTGACAACACAGGAGAGCCACTGTGTGTTTGCAAGTGGCCCTTGGTCACTACAGCAGATGAAAAAAGGGCTTGCTGCTGTCAAAACTACTCACGTACCCAGCTTCTACCCGCTATCCTTTCCCAGGGCAAGCAAGCTGCATCATGCTGGCCTGCCACAGCAATTCATCCAGCCCTACAGCGTGCTCCAGACAGCTCTCTCCCATGGGCAAATTGTTCAAGCAGTGCCAACCTGTTCCCAGGTCCTTGCTAAAAATGGTAGTCGGGAGCAGACAACTGCCCTTGTCAGACTAGTTCACCTCACCCACAGCTCGCCAGCTCCCAACGGGAAAGTGGGCTGGCTGGGAAACACCAGCCCAGCACGGATGCTGCTACCTCTGCTAATCCCATAGCAGGACAGAAGTCTGTCAGGGTTTGTTGAATCAGCCTGTGTCTTGGCTCTGTGGTGGGGCGTAGGCACAGCAGTCTTGCTGTACTGGCTGGGAGTCATGACTCTGTGCTTACAGAGCAGGGATAAGGTCACTATTGGCTCTGCACATTGGTACTCGTGGCGGGTATGTCAGCCCCTGCCTGGTGAACACTTTTCTAGCAGAGCTGCACAGGCAAGTTTAGCTACTGATATGGAAAGCAGATTTCTAGCTCACGGGAGGGGGAATCATTCCCAACGTTTATCCGAGGAGGTAATTTTAGAAAATCTCATTCTGATTTCAGTGACATACCAGGTGACAAAATGAGTAAAGTACATAATTCTTTTCCCTAGAAAAGAAATCAACCTTTTTCTAAGCAAGCTGGAGATGGCAAAAATCCATCCTTCCTGATGCAGAGGGAAGAAATAAGCACAATAGTAGTTTCAGAGCAGTGAACCCGGGCAAGTGCTACAGCAAGTTAGAGACAATTTTGTGGGACCAAGGAGAAATCAAAATGAAGAACACCAGGAACTGGATATAAGTTGAGCAGGAATAGGGATTAGTAGGTTTTATATATTTGTGAGGCTAACTACCCTCCTGGCTTATTAGCAGCACATTTCAGAGCTTGGACTGGGACAGCCAAGCTGCAAACCCCGCTGTGCGAGCAGCACTTCCAAAAGCAAAGCTACCCAGCACAATGCAGGCTAGAAGCTAAGCCCTGGCTGCCAACAAACTCGTTCAAATCACGCTCATTACAGTGGTGGTGATAAAAGCCATGAACATACTTGTATTGAACTACCATTTTTCTTCCCTCTATATTCACAATCCAAAAGGAAAAGCACAAACTTCTTCATACACTGCTGAGCAAATGAAGATTCATTCCCTGATACAATAACAATGCACTACAGGATCAAAATGCAACCTTAGCATTTTTCCTGCTCTTAATCATGTGTCAAGGTTGCTACAAAACAACAGTTGCACATAGCTGAAAAAGTCTGGCGAACAGATGCAGGGGCAAGGCCAGCACATCCCTGCCGCTCATAGCCTGTCAGGGGGAGGAGGCAGCCAGCCTCCTGACGGCCATCCCTGCAGCAGGCCCACATCCCTGCTGTGGCGGCACAGAAGTCTGCCTTTGCACCTGCATCTGCACCTTAGTTGGACAAGAGGTGCAAAGCGCAGCTGTTCTGATCAGTGCTCCCAACTCACACATGAGCTTATCAGAAACCCTGCGCAGAGCCTCGAGCGGTAACCCCGGGATGGGCTTGGCAGTAGGAGGCAGCCAGGGGACCATGCCAGCAGGTTCCCACAGTGCCACTCAGCCGTGGCCCGCAGCGGGCTGCAACCCAATACCATGATTCAAATAAGCAGCAGGACTTTGGGCTCTAATTGTCAACCTGTGCTCTCTTCATAAAAGTTATAGGTGTAAAATACATGCCACATCAGAGCTGGTGTGAGAAGTCTGTACAAGGAAGTAAAAAGCCAGGCAGAGGATTGTTTTGGTTTTTTTTTTCTTCAAAAATCTCTGGTAGACTGGGTGCCACCTCCCCTACTTCTGAGCACTGCCACATCTGTACTCACACAGACAGGCAAAAAGTCTTTGCAAGAAGATGGACAGATCATCCAAAACCATCAGCACAGCTAGCATGGCCAAGGGCTGGTGGCTCAGTACCTGGCATGTTTTGCTGCTTAGGCAGTAACTAGTTATAGTCCATGTGACAAAACCGAATATAAGCACCATCAAAAATAATGGCATACCTGCATGCACCATTAGCATTGCTTCCTGAAGTTAATCTGAAGTACAAGTTAATATTCTAATTGTACATTTTCAATTTTATTGAAGCACTGCTGTATAACCCTGCTTCCCTCTTCCTTCTTTTTAGAGGATGGATAGAAAAAGCTTAATTTAGCATGCAAATGCCAAGTGACAATGCTTTTATTAGTTTGTGGCCTCCAACAACTCAGTGCTCAATAATTTTTTCAAGATCTTAAAACTCCATAAATGGGGAAATTTTTTTTTTTTGCACTTTACTTTGATCACCTCAGTTCTGGAATCTGAATTCTGTTTTTTGAAAAAGTGGTTGAACTTTCTAAACATATTAGGAAGGGGCTCACTGGGGTTATTAGAGGTTAGGTGCATAAGAGTTTGTAGTAGAAGTGGTGATGTAAAGCAGTGTTCTTGGCCCCATGCATCTGGATGCAATTTGCTACATTTATTGACACCCTAGACACAGTAATTCTATGTACTTCCTCTTGTTTGGTGCTGTCCCACCTTGATGCTGCCCTTTCCTCATACAGAGCAGCAGATGGTGCAGTTCAGGTACGAGCTCTGCTGTTAATTCAGTTACCCTACAGCTAATTAAAAAAAGGAAACATTAAGTTCTTTAAAAAGCATTCTCAGATGACTGATTATCTCATACTTTACATCCCAATAAACTTAATACCGCTTGGATAAGGAGGAAAAAGAAGTATAAACTGGCCTACCTAAATCTGAGTTCCTGCAGTCCTTGAAGAACATAAAGTTTGAGCCCAGTCCTATTTAGTTCCTGAGGTGTAAATGTGTTTTATTCACAGCTATGTCAGTAACTGGTATGCATATTACAGTACCTTTATGAGCTGGTTTGGTTCACTCCCTTCTTCCACAGTAATTAATTTAGACCTTCCATTTCGTTCATTGTCCCGAATGCCAACAGCAACTTGAGTAGCCTTCAGACGCTCATATTTATTGCATGATGAGCCACACCACTGATAGATTTCCTAAAATAATTAAAAGCACACACATTAGCAATAAGATTCAACACTGAACAAAATTATGAAATTAATATTTTATTAATAATTATCTTACTGGATCTAAACCACCAGAACATCAGTGAAGCTACATCTTTCAGAAATACTTTCCAGAAGAGATTTCCTAAGTGACCTAGATATTTGTAATATGGAAGGTATTTATGTAATGTAATTTAGCATCCACATATTAGGAGATCGCTCAACCTCAGAATAGTCAAGAGTTTTGGTCTGACTGAGTTTTATCCCAAATACAGATATATCTTCAGCTATCTAAAGACCCTGAAACTCCTAAATTTGCTACTGCAAATTGTTTTTATTTTATATCTGGCAGGTCCTCTTCTATGCTATTTTAGCAGTGCTGGTTCTCATCTGTGGCAAGAAATAAAGTAATTTCAAAATCTCAAGGAAAACCCTGACTGTATCTGCTACTCAAAGGTAAAGTTAGATCTTTTAATCCAGTTTTTGTTTTGGTGACTTTCTGCTGTATAATGATATTTGTCATGTACCCTGCTGCATCAAACCACAAAACCAGCTCACATGCAAACAGATGACATAGGTGTTTTCAATAAAAAGTCTTCTTCACTGGAAGATTTTTCCTCAGTGTACAGCTGATCCAATGCTCCCAAAAGTTTATTAACCTCAGATTAATGCAAGCCCTTCCAACTGTAGTTATCACAAATGTCTTTATAAACGACTTCTAAAGATTCACAGATCAGGAATACACAGTTTTTCTGGTCAGTTAAACCACCAAGTTTCTCCCCAGCAGAAGGTGGACTTATTCCTGGTCCCCCTTCCTGCCTCAGGAACTGACTAAACTAAAGACAAGAGACACATCTATAAAAGATGCCTCCATTCAGCAAACGCAACAGCTAGGATTACGTTGCTGCCACGTGGGCAATCCACCCCACCGTGGTTGCCACCTTTACAAGGAGTTTCTTAGACACCACAGCAGCAGCTCTTCATGTTGATGAGCAAGTGCTCTGGTGGCAGCAGCCCACTCCCAGATATCATCTTACGGGCCTTCAAGGCCTTCTTCTCATCTGGCTGAACAGGTAGTGAATGGGTATGCCCTGCACATTATGGGTAAAGCGCAATTCAACCAGAACGGAGCACGTTCCCAAGGCACCTCTCAGGAAGGAGCACCACCAGAACTAGCCTAAGACAGGTCACCTATCCAGTCGCACCACAGACCAAGGACCCGCGTTTTGGCAAGTCCTGTTATTCATCCTGAATGCAAAGCATTTCAGAATAAAGAATTTAGATTTCAGTCCTGATGAAAATTACTAAAAGGCAGAACATAAGCTGCAGAGCCACTAGAGGCTGAGCTCGAAGGAGCTAGTCAAAGGAAATTAATCAGCTTAGCTGGTTGCTCTCCCCCCCACCTTTCTTCTGGAAGAAAGTAATTTGATTCTTCTTCACATGATTCTATTCAATAGCCCAAACAGTACAGCAATAAAGGTACACATTCATTTTCAACTTTAAAAGAGGTTGAACTAGTTTGTATTCATCTACAACACAAATAACAAGGATTTAATCAGAACCCTCACTGGGTAAACTACTGGGGTCTTAGTTTTACGATGTATATACAACTGTATAAAATTTAGATTTCGGATGAAAACCTGTTTCATTCAAAAAAAAGCTTCTTAAGCTCTTTCTGCTGACCACTATTGTTATTTAATAGTACTTAAAATGGTGGCTTGAGACAAGTGAGATATTAAGTACAGCTTCTCTGTACTAGCAGATGCAAGCTTTTAGAAGACAGCTAACACTGATGCCATCTGCATGCAAAACAGCACTAGTAACTTCTTATGTTTACTCTTCACCAGCTTGGACACAAAAACCCCTCCCAAACTCAGTGATCTCACAGCCAAGTTCCCTTCCCTTCCCTTCGGAAGCATCCTTCAAAGACAAAGTTTTAAGCCTACGTCAGGATCACACAGATTCCCAGAACTGGATCCCTTTCAACCTGCAGATGTTATGCAATGAAAACTGTGAGGTTTTCAGCTTGCCTTTACCAACTTGACTGTAGTATTAAGACAAGAAAAAAAATATCTGCTTTCAAGTTCCAGTTTAAATACTGTCCGCTTACTAAGTATCCAGAATCTGGAGACATACTTGGCTTCAGGTTTGAATCTTATCTTAAATCTCACTTTCTACATTTCCACAGGAAAAGAAAGTATCTGTGCAATCTTGGGGCAACAGAATTTTCTAAAGAATTAATGAAGACTGCCTTGAGTATACAGAAAGTCAAAAGGGTTTTTTTAAATATAGTTATTATAGCCATGCACTGCTTCAGCCACCTTCTCCCAGATTTTGGGAGACTTCCCAAAACACAGACTCCTTTAGTTTCTGCGAATTTCACCACTCCAACTTACCCATTCTCATCTTGGCCTACCTCCTACTAACTAAGCTTATTTGAAATTACGTGAGAAAACAGGAGTCAGTGGAGATATAGCAACAATAAATAAGAATTCTTTATTTCCTGCAGTCTATAGAAGCAGTAAGGAAGAGGACATATACAGAGAACTAGCTGAAGAGGTTAGGCAGCTATTGCCTTATCTCAGTGTGTATGCTGCAAATCATGGAGATTACTTGTTCAGAAAGGTTAAAAGTTCAGTTTCAGCTATACGTGTCAGCCTTCTCTTGGTCTTTTGGTAACTGACCATGCAACCTCAAACAAGTATTCTCATCTACAAAATGAGTAGTATTTACGGTACTGACCACAAAGGATATTGTGAGACTTAAACTGTCACTGCAAATTACAAAGAGCTCTACTTCTCAGACAGTGAATTCACATTTTCTTTTCTTAGCATCTCAGATGTACAGTGCACCCTAGCTACCCCGCATTCACAGCATATTCCCCAGTTTTCCTTCAGTCAGCAAGTGACTTAACTGAGCTCTCCTACAGTCCACTAGCTCTAGGCTTCAAATCAGCCTGAGGAAGGGGAAAGACCTTTAAAAATATACAGTAAGGGATTTCAGATTTTTTGATTTGCAGATTTCATTATTTTCCTTATGGAGTCCACATTCCTAAACTACAGAAACATTCCCACAAAATAATGTGGTCTAAATACATTTTTCCTAAACTAAAATAAATAAATATGAAATGTTATCTGTAACCTTGAGAAACCTTGTGTGGTAAGGTTTTCTCCTGCCACATGAAAAAACTTGAATCAACAAGAAGTATCTGAAAACATCCTTGATCTGGAGTTCACATGGTTGAGCCATACCACTCCTATAAGCTCCATCTTCCCTGGTTATTTAAAAAAAAATATTGATTTTAAAAGCTAGAGAAACAAGACTGATTCTTATCAGCACTAAAGAATAAAGACCACATTCTTTATTAAAACCCTGAAAGCTAAACTTCATGTACTGTATAATCTAATAGAAGGAAGTAAGCAGCCACAAGCCATGAAAGCGTCCCAAGGTATATAGTATTTTACTGTATTTACTATGAGCACAAAACAAATATCTTAAGCATTCAGTGCTACAAGCTTTTAGGAGCTTAGATTTAGTTAATTTTCTCTTCTGAAGTAAAATCACCTTCTCAATTATTTCTTAAATGTATCTAAATTTGAGGCTTCATGGTAGAAGATGTAACTTGCACATTTCAATCTCTAGGCAGATCGGGTTTTTAACAATTTAAAGCCAGTGTCCTGGTTTCTGCTGGGATAGAGTTAATTTTCTTTCTAGTAGCTGGTATAGTGCTGTATTTTGGATTTAGGATGAGAATGCTGACAACACAATAATGGTTTTAGTTGTTGCTAAGTAGCACTTATGCAAAGTCAAGGATTTTTCAGCTTCTCATGCCCAGCCAGCGAGAAGGCTGGAGGGGCACAAGAAGCTGAGAGGGGACACAGCCAGGGCAGCTGACCCAAACTGGCCACAGGGATATTCCATACCATGTTACGTCATGACCAGTATATAAACTGCAGGGAAGGCTGGCCAGGGCCAATCGCTAGTCAGGGACTGTCTGGGCACTGGTCAGTGGGTGGCGAACAATTGCATTGTGCGTCACATGTCTTCTCTTGGGTTTTCTTTCTCTCTTTTTTTTGTTATATTCCTTTTAGTTACAATTATTATATTTTAGTTATTTAACTGCTCTTAGCTCAACCCACAAGTTTGTTTTTTTTTTTTTGCTGATTCTCCTCTCCATCCCACTGCAGGGGCAGGAGGGACGGGACAGTGAGTGAGCGGCTGCATGGTGCTTAGTTGTCTGCTGGGGTTAAACCACAACAGCCAGAAGGAGAGATTTTTAAAAGTTAAAGCCACTTCTTGACAAGGCTAATATTTAGATGTAGATTTATCTGAAATATAGTCAGCTAGCTATCTAACCATGTCCAACAGACCCCTGAGCTTTTGGCTTGTATTTTATCATTCAAGTATTTATTTTTAGACATATATATGTGTGTATATATATATTTATATAAAAAGTGCTCAATTAGGGCCATAATATGGTATTTAGCTTTAGCTCACCCAGTGCTTTCACAATTTCTTAGCTGTACTACACCTTCACTATTTTTAGGCTTGTTTTGCTAACCTTATTTTGAATTGGCAGGCTGACAAATGTTTCCATTAAAACAAAAATAGACTTCAAGTGTTCACTCCCCTCAAAAAAAAAAAGGAACTTCATTCATCAGTAATTCCTGTGCCAAGCCTAGTTTATTTTCAGAAGTTTGTACTAGCAGTATTTTTTTTTTAATCTCTTTAACAGAGTTTGAGAGATGCTATGGAAGAGAGCTCGTCTGCTACCTGATATTAATGGTTGTTGCTATCAATATATTTGTCAAATCACAGTGGGACAATTAGCAGCTGAGGGTGAGAAAATGTTATCATGGATAATCACAATGGCCACCCTTGAGCTCCTGAGGGAGGTCAGGAAGACAAACCAGGTCTATGCTCTGCACACTGCAGTCACAGCAAGGTCTCTCCTCATCTGCACATTTTGGGTACACAGTTTGGTCTCCTAG